TCTGAATGGGTGTTTTCCGCGCAGGTTACGTTGGAGCTGCGGAATGGTGATCCTTAGATCACTGTAAATTTCTCGCTTGGAGCGAGCACTGCCGAGGTGGCCAGACCGCCAAACTGGAACGACGCCGGCAGTGTGCTGTGATGGCGATAGCCAATTCGGCAGTTTTATAGTGATGACTATAGCCAGTTCGACGGTTTTATCGTGATGGCTATAGCCAGTTCGCGATGGAAGACTAGAAATTTGGAGGAAGATGGTGGTCCGGAAGCATCGAAGCTGGAGCACGATATTGGCCGGGCAGCAACAATATCGCCAATATATATTGTTATGGGCTGGGAAACGATTCCTGAAAGACTAGCGTCGGTGAGTCTTGCATAGTTTGTAGCTTTGCTTTTTGAGGAACTTCAAGAAATAAGGGGGCAGGTAAGTGAGTGAAGGAATGGGGGAGATGAAAGAAAGGGGGGTAGGGGGGAAGGGAGTATATGGGCAGGAGAACGATATAAAATGTTATAAAAAAGTACGAAATGTAAAATGTTATAAAAAAAGATAAAATATCCCGTTCCCTTGAATTATGAAAGTTATAAACGTTTTTGCTTGGCATCGCAGCTGGACTTCGCCAGGCGCAGTGGTTACGGCACTAATTCATAGGGAAAGAGGACAAAACCGTAAAAGTGTTCGGAAGTTCGGAAGCATTTGGATACGAGGCAGAAGACGATGAAGCGCGGGAACCTAAAACGGTCCATGATAAGAAGGAAATTCTGAGGCACGGCGATGAGGCGTATCGAGCAAAAAAAGGGAATTAGACATACCTCCACTTATTTCGCCCTCTCCCCACAGCCTTGAATATCGTCGCCTATCACATCGGCCGGTCCTCGTACTGTCGGGTCGCGTGATAGTTATTCTTCTAAAAACAAGAATTAGAGAATTATGATTTTTTTCGAAGGATTTTTTCATGTCGCAAGTAAAATCTCCTGCACTGATCGTGAACTCTTTGCTTGAGATGTAGAGCAATATGGTCTTTTTTAACTTAGAGAAAATGATTTACTTTGACGACCTACTTATTCTTGGATAATATTTGGATTAGTTCTAGTTTATAGTTTATTTCTGCAACTGTGCAGCTGACAGCTTTTCCAATTGCGTTGACCACTATAGCATCGCTAGACGACTGTTGTACTAGTACGTTAATATAAAAGGCATTTAATTTACTTATTTGCTTCATGGCGTAATAAAATATCCAGTGGAAAGACACGCATTTTTTATAGGACTACAACGATGAAAACGGCGCAAGAGCAGTGGAGGAGGCAAGACCGGTCTGCGTGATAATGAAGAAAATTATGATTTTCCGGAGGCCGAAAAGGTACAGACTTATCGAAAATGCAGGACATGAAAAAGAGATAATATTAGGACTCCTGGGAAGAACACATTGATTCACCGGTTTGATATCGAAACACCTCCTCTCGACCATTGTATGGATTGAGA